ACAAAAAAAAAAAAAACAAAAACAAAAAATACAAAAAAAATAAGAACGGACAGCAGAAACTAGTTCCTAGACCTAGGTTAGTTCTCGACTCGATTCGACTCGAATGAGATCTCTCCCTCTGTGCCCACCCGCTCTGCCTGAATCTGTCTAGAGGACAGAGTCCGTAGCCGTACCCCAACCCGTACCCGTACCCGTACCGCTGTCTCTCCGAGAAGACCTGTTTCGTGTCATAGATTTGTTTTATGTTTATGGTGTTTGGGACCAAGACCAAGACCATAGAGAGAAGTGAAGTGAAGAGAGGAGAGTGGAGTGGAGTGGAGTGGGAGGGTGGGGACCAAAAGACCAAGAGACCGAGAGACCAACAGGCCAAAGTGGTTCGGCCAGCCAAACAACAAAAGAGTCTGTCCCAAGTCCACTCGCTTCTGGCTCTTACTCTTGTTTGTTGCTGCTGTTGCTGCTGCTATGAACAAGAAGTTTTGCGGCTATGGATGTGGTTTGTGGTTTAACTGCTTTTATGGTAACACAAAAACACAACAACAACAACAAAAAAAAAATCAAAAAACAACAAAAAATAACAAAAAGAAAAGAAAATTAAAATAAAACAAGAAAGTTGTCTTAAGTGCAGCTAACCGAAATACGTATGCTCTTGGAAAGCAGCTGGAGAGGGTTCTACACAGGCGAAATCGATCCTTTGAACACATGCTAATGGAGCCTATTACCTGACCATTATCGAAGCTTTGATGTAGCATGGGGGCAAAAAAGTTATGAAGTTTTGCTTAAAATTAATACTATTTTGTTGCTTAATAAATAATCTATAATTCATTTTGCTCTAATGTTTATTTTGTAGAAGAACTTACAGCAGAAAGTAAGAGTTCATGTTTTAAACTCTAGCTAATATCTGTGAGAAATAATTTGCTTCCCATGCAAGAATTTTGAGCTTAATCAATTTTGAGTTCAGTATCGATTTTCCATACATTTTGTCAGGAGGATGGCCTAAAGATTACCTTAAGCACTAATGAGTTCTAAAGCAGGCTTCCCGTTTCACCTTTTTACATTTCCAACACAACCAGAAACGTTGTAAGGTGCAGAATTATTGGGGCTTTGCGTTTATCCAATCGTTCGTTTCATATTTTCTTTTGGTGCAAATCTTTCCTAATCCTCATAGATCCTGCCCTGGCACTTTCTCCTGGCCACAGCCACTTTGCACTGCTCTTAATCCTTGGGCAAACCTGCAGTCAGGTTTTGAGTACTCTTTGCAAAGGGCAACTACCAAACAAAGTAAAAATCGGCAACAAAAAAAACAGCAGCAGCAGCAGCAACAACGATGACTGCAGTGGCAGTGGCAGCAGCGGCAGCAGCAGCATCGAGACTTTTGTTAAAAAGTCATCAAAGACCAAACAGCAAACAGCAACAACAACAACAACAACAATCACAGAGAGTCACGATGTTGGTCGCTTGGTCGCTTGGTCGGTTTGTCGTTTTCGTTTGTTCGAAACGAGTTTTGGCTTAAAGTCTAAACTTTATTTACAATATTGTTTTCTTTTACGACGTCGTCGCTGTCGCTGTCGACCGCGATGTGGTTGTTGGTTTGACCCAAGCCCCTTTTTTTTTTTTTTGTATTTTTTTTTGTTGGTTTTTGTTTTTTGTAATAAAGAAACTGGTATACCCTGGAACAGAGAGGCACAGAGACAAAGATACACACTTAAAGAAGGGAAGAGATATATCCACCTCCACTCCACACCACACCACACCACACCATAGTAGAGGAGAGTCCCAGTGGATCTAGATGGGTGCCTCAAACACAGGCCTCACGACAATTTAGCCAATTTGATGTGCATCTTTGAAGAGTGGTGTAGGAGGAGTAGAAGGCAAGAGAGAGAGAGAGAGAGTTGGCCAGAGAGGTTTTAAGCTGGCATAGGATACGTTTCCAGATGGAGTTGGGGATGACATCGCAGATTTGATATTCTTTAGAGCTCTTTTTGGTTCTCTCTCTCTCTCTCTCTCTCTCTCTCTCTTGTGTGTTGGTGTTGATTGGTCCCGTGCGGTTTATCAATCATTAACAGTGACCGTCGAGTGTGCTAGTGGATGTAGATGTGTGGTGCTGGTAGATCGTAAAACTCTGGCCTAAATGCCCGGACCCAGACTCAGACCCAGACCCGGACTCTTGGGCCTCTAAAAGGCCATCGCATTACACAAATGCCGTCTCAAAGATTTACAAACGGCGGACCATAAAGAACAAAGAAAAGTCCAAAAACCCAGAAGTAACTGAACCAACCTCTCTCTCTCTCTCTCTCTCTCTCGTTCGTGGAGCCCAATAAAATGTTATGTACGGCGATGAGTTAGGGCCCCCGAAACGAGCAATTTGCCCGTTCATTTGATTGCATGGAGTCCGAGAGTCCGCTGCTGCAGGCCCACAAAAACCCTATTCGGACAGGTCTCGTAGTCCCCATCAAGTGGTAGCTAAATCATGTTTTTTTGGCCACCCCCCTCCCTGCCCCAACCCTGTCCGTTGGGGTTGTAAACTTGTCGTCTCAGGGTGGAAATTTATTTCCCTAATTGGATGGCAGGATGAAAATACTCGTAAATGGGGGGCAAAAGGAAACTATCTTTTAATTTTGTAATATGAAAAGCATTACAGAAGGACGAAGAAGGGGTTAAATATATTCGAGTGCATCAGCAGGGGAGATCTTGAACTGAAGTCTCTGAAAATACTGGCAGAATGTTCCAGAATATTCTGCAAGGTGCATGCACCATTTTTGGAGGGGGGGGGATACCCTAAGAACCTACCCACAGGCAGCACCGAGAGCACTCCATTCCGTGTGACCTCAACAGCAGTTGCGCGGCTGGAAAATGAAACAAGGAAAAGCAAGGAAAACAAGGAGACGGTGGCACTATAAAACAACAGGGAAAACTGGGGAAAACCGAGCAAAACAAGGAAAATGTCAATAGCTTTGGCAACGACATAATTTGCTTTGCTTAATTTCTGCTACGTTTTGGTATTTTTATTGCAATTTCTGTCCGGTCCGGTCGGGTCGGGTCGGGTCGGGCCGGGCTGGGGTCGCTTCGCCCCCACCAAAAGAGGACGGGGGCAGGCGTTGCTGGTTGCTGGTTTTGCGACTACGACTGCGACTACAGCTGTGGTTAGAGTGGAGCAATGGCAATGCCAATGGCAATGTAACATGCCAAATGTGTCCCGGAATTTAATTAAACATTTTCTGCGCTTATTCACCCCAGTCTAGGAGAGATGTACTCACCCAACCCCACCCAAAAGCCACCAGAAACATCGTCGTCAATGTCCTGTCCTGTCCGAAATTCTTGTCCTGGACGCTGGCTGGCTGGGGCTGACTATTGATTCTGACCCCTCTAGTCCACAAGGAGGGTGATGGTGGTGATGGTGGTTGATGGGACCAGAGGATGGGACAGTAAATGGCAAGGTTATTGACATATTTTAACAACTATTTGCAAAAGGCTTTAGTTTCACTTCAATTCCATTCCACATGCCCATCCTGCCTTTTGCCTTTTGCCTTTTTCATCCTTCTCCTTTGCTCTCCTCTCGTCCTTTCACGCATAATTGAAGCAAGTGCAGAATGTCTTCATCCTGCGGGGGGTGGTGGGTTGGGGGTTTTCCTCTCGGACTCTTTGGTCCTCTGTTTGTTTGCTTTCATGTTTAAATGTGCTCGCGGCATCAATATTTGTATCCTGGCAAATATTTGGCATTTGTCATGTAAATAACGTTATTTCAATTACTTGATGCGAACAGCAGAAACAGAAATATGTACGACTAAAAGAATGGAGTGGCGATAGCCGTACCAGCAAATAGACTGGGGAGGGAAGAAGAAGTGCAGCTTGTATTTTCTCGGTCTGTTTCTCAGTCTGTTTGCATTGGCCAAATAACTTTGGGGCTAAAATTTACTTATGACAAGAAGTCACACAAAAACGGAAAAAGAGGGAAATTTTTGTATTAATATTGAGGAAGAAGAATAGCCAAAGAAACCCCTTTGTGGGGGGATTCTAGTAAGATCTATAAATGCTTCGATTTATGGTGATAATTATTTCAAAAAAATATGCAACCCATGCAATGTGATTTTATCAACTTACTTTTGTTTGCTTAATAATAGTTATTGGTTCTAACTGACATATGTATGTATGTACATATGTGTTTCTAAGGTTTTCTTTTGTCATAAATTGCAAGATCTCTTATTGGAAATAAATACTGAACTCTTTTCTTTGAAGGCCATAAAAGGAAATAAATTTGTAGGATTGCTTAAAGTTTCTTTCGTCCATCCACTAAATCCACAAATGTGCATTTGCTGGTATTTACGTATCTGGTATGTAGGTTTTCCTACGTCCCTAAGTGAATATGATATAATATTTTTCATGACATCGCGCGCCATTTGCATTTGTAACCATACATACATATGTATGTACATAATATTTAAATGTACTTTTGTCATTCGGGCGAGTACTAGACACGATTCTGTGGCAAGTTCATAGCAAAAACAACAACAGCTGTTTGCGCAAATCGCGAAAATAACGAAAAAATCACGACCAGAAAACTAGCAAGAATATGTTGTCGACATTTTGATGACCCATGTTCTCGGATATAATTCTAAATATTTGATAAAAAGCTTTGTACATAATTGAAATTCAATTATTTACGAAATTCGCAGAAAGTGATTGGAAAAGTATTGGTATCCACTTTTACTCCTTAAAATATGAGCATACCCAGTCACTCTGAAAGGACAGGGTACTATGCATAGGGAATGAGATAGCGAGAGAGAGAGAGAGAGAGAGGCGCACGTAATCGACCCATTGCCACCCTGCGCAGCCAGCCCCCTTCGCTCGTGTAATGAACGAATGCTAGCACAAAGCGGGAGCGCAATCAACGCGCTGACGTTTGCACAAACCAAACGCTCTCTCTCCCTTCGCTCAGAGAGCAGCTATCACTCTCTCTTCGCTTGACATTTGCGCATGCAAGATTGTGCATGTCCGCGTCGGGCTCAGTATTGTGCGTGTATTCGTGGCCATTGGTCAGCGCGGGGGGACGCCGGGTGAATGATGAACTCACGTGACCGACAATTTTGGACAGAGTTCCTGCTGCTCTACCGATCGCTGCCGGCCGTGTGGAAGGTGCGGAGTCCGCAGTACAGCAGCCGGGCAATGAAGACCGCCGGATACGAGCAGCTGGTGGGCAAGCTGCGCGAGGTGGAGCCGCATGCGAACCGCCCGCTGGTGGTCAAGAAGATCAACTCGTTCCGCACGAACTTTCGGCGGGACCAGCGTAAGCGCGAGCAGTGCGTCGAGGAGGGGCTGCCCTTCGAGTCCACGCTGTGGTACTTCGATCTGCTGGGGTTCCTCGAGGGGCAGGATGAGGCCGCTGTCACCAGCCAGGGAGCAGCCAAGGGCGAAGCAGCCTCGGAGTTGGACGGCGAGGAGGTAAGAGGATCACCAGAGGAATTTCGGGGGAAAGGCAGCTTCATGGTCCAGTCCATTCTTGCAGATCTTCTTTCCCGCCTATGAAATATCATCGCCCAAAAGGCGCCGCCGGGCCATCAAAGAGGAATCGCAGCCGTCGCCCAATTCCTGCCCCTCGCCGGCCGCAACCAGCTATTCCTGCTCCACCTATCAACAGCAGATGCCAGAGCGCAGAGCATGCACGGGCCCAACCGAAACGGAGGCCTTGGCCCACACCTGGAGCAGCCAGTTCCAGGAGCTCTCGCAGCGTCAGCGGATTCTAGCGCGAAAGCTGATCTCTGACGTGCTCTACTACGGCTGCATGGGGCAACTGGAGCCCAGCCATGTCGATCAGCTGCAGCAGATGATGCTGGCACCATCATCAAATGCCTTGGCGCAAGTCGAAAACGTTTCGGGCTCAACGGATTCAGCGAAACTGCAACCCCTGGAGGAATACAGAGAAAAGAATGCTAGGGATGGAGATATTTGAAGAGTTTGGCAATGAAGGCAGCTAAATGCAAAACCTTTAATAGCTAAGAATTTTAATAAATAATGTCACTTAATTTTATTTGGAATCTTCTGAAAAAATATATTAGCCAATTTTAATCAGAAAAATGCCTTAATTTTGATCAAATTAATTGAATGCTTTCAATGTCAAATTTTGGCCATCATTTTGGAGACGTCCTCCCTCTACCACACAGTGGATGAATCGAATTCAAATCCATTTTCCAATGGGCGGCCTTGTCGGGGGAAATTAGCAAATAAATGTGCCCGAAATTAAAACAAATTAACAACAACATTTATTTGCGACTGTAAAACTTGGTCATTTTTTGTGTGTGGGTTCGGGAATTGAAAAACTTTTCTGCTCCTTCCCCCACCACCCCCCGCAGAACACCAGAAACTCCCAACCCAGAACAAAACCGAATCGAAAAACCTAGCGAAAATGAAACGAAAAAGTAAAGCAAATCGAAGGCACGAGTGCCCAAAGCAAATGACACTTTTTACATCCCCCTCCTCGCCACAGCTCCCCGCACTTAGAGAAATTGCTATATGCATGGAGAGTGGGTGGGGTGGGGGAAAGGGCGAGAAGGTAACAGAGAAAAAAATGCAAATTTATTGGCATTTAATTTAAAAGAGAAACAAAAAGTAAAAGCAAAACCAAGAGACAAGAATTGCCCGCACAAAAACCCGGAACCCAAAAGAACACCCATCCCTCCCCCACACCCCGCCCAACGGAACACCAAAAGCAAACCAGAAGAGAAGCAAACCGAACACAGACCCTCATAATGTGCACAAAAGTTTGCAACAACACACCACACCGCACCGCACCACACCACACCGCACCACACACCAAACGAATGCGGCATATAAACGAGCGCATAATGAGCTCAGTAGAACTTCCCGAACTGGATAGATGGATAGATGGATGGCTGGATGGCTGGATGGCTGGATGGGATGGGATGGAAAACAAAATCGCATTTAATGCCTAAAAATACTAGCCCCCATATATTAAACACGCCCCGTTCCGTGGATGGCCTGCCGCCTGCCTGCCTTTTTTATGCTCTGTGCGCATATCATGCAATTACTTTCCACTCAAATGTCAATTTAAATTGAAGTTTTATGCAAAAACCATACTCGAAATTTGTGTCCCAAGAACAAAGCCTCAAGAGGGGTCCTGGGGTGCTGGGGTGCTGGGGTGCTGGGTCCTGGTTGCTGGTGTTTGGTTTTGCTTCGGAAAGTGTGTGTCTGGAGTGTGTGTTCGGAGTGTGTGTTGGGTGGTGTGTGCTTTTTATGTGTTAGTTGCACATTTCGGAAATTAAGTTGAAATTTATTAGCACATCTTTGTCGTCGCCTTTGGATTGCTTGCCTGCGCACTTTGAGCAGGAAATAACGATTCCGAGATGCCGATGAAGGAGGAGCAGCAGGAGCAGGAGCTGGAGCAGGAGGATGATTCCTTCTACTACGTACGGCGTGTGACGAATCTGAAAAGCCCCTTTATCCAAAAAAGCGGATATTAATGTGCGTGTGTTTTTTTGGTGGGGCGGGGAGGGAAATGGCGCTACATAAATTGTCAATGGATATCTCACAAATAAGGTGAATGAATGTTGGGGGAATGGGCAAATGGGAGAAAGTTTTGTGCCAAATCTACAAGTAATCTCCTGAAACAGTTCAGGCTCCTTTTCCCCTGGTTAGGTAAGTGATTACAGTGGGGTGGGACATGAGGGGGATACCTATGGGAAGGCATAGACTTTTATGCGTTGCTTTTGTATATCAAATAAGTGATTCCTTTAGGGATCATTGAGCGGAAGAACTAACTAGAGACGTAGTCTCTTGGTACTTATTTTTCTTTTATTTATTTTTACTTTTCTCTGGTACCAAAACAAATTGTATACCTTTTTAATGAACAATTACACTACCATCGAATTCCCGGATCTCTCAGAGGTATGCAATTACTTACACACAGATCTCTTCATCATTGCGTTAATTAGGAGCTGAATCCAAAGTGCTTCCGTTCTCTGACTGCCCAACATCAAAGGAAGGTACTCCAGAAAACAGAGTGAAACGAAGCCAGAGAGAGAATCAAATTATATCATCGCATCAATTAAGGACCTCCTTCATTCACGGCTCATCAGCAAATCAAATACCAAATATATACTACATATGTGCGAATATCGGAGTATATATTCCTCTCTTACATATGTCCGATGCAGTTGGAATTTTTTTGTTTGTTTGTTTTCGCTTTGCCCAATCAACCGATGTGCCCTGCTCAGCGAAACGTAGCGCCGACGACGCCCCTGGCAGCGTGGCAGCCTGGCAGCAGTAAAGAATCTGAAGGACCCTCCAGCCCCGGGACAGACACGCATCAGGACGGAGGATGTGGCCCACTCCACCATATGTGTGTGTGTGCTTGTGGCAGGGAACTCTCTCGATATGGCAGTGGCAGTGGTGTGTGTATTAGTGCCTCCATATTACACAATTTCCAATCGCATCAAGTCGTTAAAAGTTTCGATTACAAAACGCGTTTTACAATTGCCGGCGGTATGGGGGGCGTGGAGAGCAGGATATATAGCAGTGGAAAATAAAATAAAACAGGACCAAAACAAACAGCCACTACAACAGCAGAAGGCGGTGGCAAAGAGGCAGGCGGCAAGGAGGCAGGCGGCAGGCAGCAAGGAGGCAGGCGGCAGGCAGCAAGGAGGCAGGCGGCAACTGGGGTGGTGTGCAAAAACAAATATTGAAAGTGGCATTAAAAAAAACTTTACCCAGCGCTGATTTTATTGCAATGAATTTGCGCTCAAATGGCAAATCAATGTGTTTCCTTCTCGCCAGTCAATTTTATGCTTCCCATACGGACACACACACATACATACACATATGTGGGAAAACTAACCAAACCAAACCAAACCAAACCATAGAAAAACGATAGAAAACCAGACCCCAGACTCAGACTCAGAGCCAGACCCAACCAGACCACACTTGTCATGTGTCTGGGAGCCAGTTGATGTTCTACTTGGCACTGGCTACGACGATACGGTGCTTAAACGGGTGAAAGTTGCACGACGGCAACGAGTACAATGAAATTTATAGCGCTTGATACTCGGTTGATGATAGCAGCATGGCAGCAAGGCAGCGACTACGACTAGCATGGAATTTATAGTGCATAATCGTCATTACTTTCGAAAGTCCCTCCGGTGCAGAGCAGGAATTGGACACTTTTTGGGCTTTGAGCAAGTTCAGTGGGGAGTATTGTTGTGACTTCAACAAAATCTATTCATAATAATAATAAAACTGAAAGAAAGTGTTCAAATGGAAGGGTATTAAGTTAAGTATAAAACGGATACCCCAGGATAAATAGCTCTAGCTACCTGTCTTAGATATCCGTTTCATCTGGAATGATCTCTACAGTAAACTAATCCTCTTTCTGACTCAACGTTTTGTTTTCGAAATATTTCGGGAATATTCATGGAAAGTAATAAATGGAAAGCAATATCTTCCGATTGAATTACGAGTCATCCGACAAAGTAACTAAATATGCCTGAATGGACACTCCTCTCCTAGAACTGTACCAAATTAATCTCTGATCAAATATAATTCCAACTTTTTTATTGCCATTTTTTGTGACGATCTCTACATGGATTTGGCATAATTTTCACAGTCGAATAACCTCACCCATTAAAAGTATTAAATCCGAAATCCTTCACAATTAGGTATGGGGGGTTGGGGGGAGAACGACTGTAATCGCATTACTTATATGGCAGTTAGTTTCCATCCATGTTTTTATGTGCCACATAATCGCCATTAATTTCCCATTTTTGATGTGCTATTGTCGCTTTTAATGCCGATGCTTTTAGCGCCCCATACCCAAGGGGGGTGGCACTCGTGATAACAAATAAAAACGGCAACAAACTATGGACATAAAAAAATATACGACAACAAAACAATTTTTACTACTATTCCCACTCAAAGCCCTTTACCCCCTCTCCACCATCCACAGCACAGTATTATTCTCAGCCCTTTCCTTTGCCAAGCTATCCTCCGCAGTGAAATGAAATTGATGCATTGATTTTTCGATATACAAAACATTTTCATCCATTTTATTGCCATCCTCCTGCCACCATCGGCAGCATTGCCCTCACTCTCTGCTCTTCTAGAGTAGGTGCCACGCCCCCACCTGACAAATGAAAGGGTGGCAGAGAGTGGGAGATAAAGAGAGAGCTTTTTGTTGCCTTTTGTTTTTATAGCGACATGTAATGTGATTTATTGCTTGTTCGGTCCTTAAAATAAATTCCTTTTAATGGTTTTTTATTGCCATCAGTAGTTGGCGTCAGCGTTAATGTTAATTAAACTATTGTAGTGCCTGCAGCTGCTGCTGCTGTTGCTGCTGCCAGAGTGGGGTGACTCCACTCCACTCCAGGCCCATAAATCCCCGGCAACAGAGTAAGCGCAGCGCATTGGGGGAAGAGTCACGAGTACGTACAACCGGGAACAAGGTTAGTTGTAGATTGCAAGTGGATTTTTCCAGTGGATGTTTAACAGTTGGCGCTTTTTGGGTTCTTATTCTAGTCTTGTTTTTGGGTGTGGGCGAAAAAGTGTAAGGGGTCCGATGGTCATTAGACTGGACATGTAACATGTGAACTAAGTGATGTCCGGATCGATTCTCTTCGGGCTTGGGGCGATGAATTATTAAGTTTGGAAAGAGCAGCAAAGAATATTCGATGCAAAAGTGAATTTAGAGTGCAGGTCACATGGATTAAAGAATTAAGGAATTTTTCCAAGGGCTGGAGGAAGCTCAAAACTAAATTTATAATTTTATTTTGAAACTACTAAATATTTAGTTTAAATGTGATATATATTTACTGTAGATATGGAATATAATCAGGTATAATATTTTCATTTTAATTAACTTTAATTTAATTAATTAATTCACTTCCATTTGAATATTTCCACACTCGTTTAAAATTTAAAATCATAAATAAATCCAAGGGTAAATATTAAAATTTCTCTCGGTGTACTTATATTTCGACAACTTACACACAAATTCTTCTCTTCTTTACAAAGAAATTATTTTCGGGTGGTGTCCTAATCTTCAAAACTCTCAATGAATGCCAAGGATTATCCTAAGTACTCACT